TTTTTTACTTTGGTGAGGTAAGATATTGGTTGGTAAAGTAAATAGATTTGATTGTAGCTAGTGATGTACTTCATGAAATATTTTTTTCCCTGTTTGTCGCAGATGATTTCTAACAAGAATAAAAGAATACCGTACCCTGGTTGTTAAGAAAAAAGTAAGATTAGATTGTCACAATAAGAAGGTACATGGAATTAAACGTGATATCTTCTTCTAAGAATACTAACCCCGTGTAAACACTACCTCCTCTCTTAATTACTTTATATAAGAAATAAATGGCTACAATTTTTTTTTTCTTAACTATTATAAGAAACATGTATTTATTTTAAGATGTATTAATTATTATTATTATTATTTATTAATTAATTAATATTATTATTATTTATTAATTAATACATTAATAATACAATTTATATTTATTAATAGAAAAAGTTATCTTTTGAATTAGTTGTATATGTAATGTCATTTAATGTTACCACTATTGAAATCAATCAATTCAAAGGGTGTTTTTGAAATGAAATTTAATTTTATAACATTATTCATGAAAACTAATTAAGTATCTTAATTATTTTTATTGACTTTGGTAGATTAATTATATATATATATATATATATGAGACTATTTTGTAAAAGAGAAATTACAATCATACAACAAATTCATATTATTTTGCTTTATGATGAAAAGGAAAGGGGATAAAATGAAAGATACAAATATAAAATACGTATTGGATTAAGATTTTATGAGATTATTTTATCACAAAAAAAAAATCGTGTAGATTTTAAAAGATATTGTAGGAATGTAATAACTTTTAAAAAAAATAATAAAATTTATAATCAAGATTTCATAATATAAATTTTAATAGATTTATAGCATAGTAATTTAAAATATTTCAAAGAATTTTATGATATTTTAAAGGAGAATATAGATTCTTAAAAAAAAGAATTCAATTAATATAAAATAACAAAAATAATAAGACTTGAATAAAGGAAAATAAAATTAATACAATCTTTTAATAAACAATTGATTCTATCTCCATGTTTTCTAAGTAACATTTTTCTACAAATAATCCTTCATGCATCGATATTTTTTCATTTATGTTATTGAATTTGAATAATATATTCAAATTTTATGATATTCATTAATTGACAAAACTATCAAAATTAGCATGGTATGATAAATTAGTTTGTTGACTCATTAGGTGAAGCTAAATTGGACTTTTTATTTTGGACTTGAAAAAGATCAAACCTATTTATCCTAATTTGATAGGTCAATCAAGTCAAGTTGAACAATAAAATTTAGGTCCAAAGATACTAAAACTATTTAGTCTAATTTTTCTTTATTTTTTTATTTTTTAAATTATATGTAAAATTATTAAAAATAAATAATTATTTTCAAGTTAAAAGAAAAAAAATAGTGTAAAAAGTATTATAAAAGTGTTATATAAATATAAATAAAATAAAAATTTATTGGTATAACTTTTTTTTTCTTCTTTTCATTATCAATCAAAAGTTATGATTAAGACTATTTTTTTTTTACTATTTATAAGATAGTTATCATAAAAGTTAATAATTTATTTAATCATTTATTTTAAATGATAGTGTTAAAATTATCTGTAATTTAATTAAATTCTTTATTCTATTAGGTTTTCTTTCCATATTAAAACAATTAATATAATAAACATACCCTAAACATAAATTCGTTTTCCATCATTCTAAATATGACCTAACCGACTAAGATATAATTATAAAAAAAACAACAAAACATCAAAATGTATAAAAATTAATAAAGAAAATGATTAAGAACTATTTGACGTAATACTCATTTATATTGACATTAAATATCAATGTTATTTTTCCCTGTTATATTAATAGTATGTTTAAACTTAACGCAACGCCTGTAGCTATTGAATTAATTAGGATTGCATATTTTTTATTATTATTAGTATCTATAATATATAAAGATGTACACATTTTTTTTAAAGATAATTTTATCCTTAAATTTTTAAATAATCAAAAATATTATATAAAAATAATCATTCTTGTAAATATAATACTCAAACTCAACACCAACTAATTTATCAAACATTAATAATTTTTAAACATTTTTATTAAATAAAATATCTTGATTCCACTAATTATTAAAGTACAAGTGTAAAATATTTACTAATTAACCTTCTCAACCATTCATTTTGATCACAAAATTTGGCTGGTTATTCTTTAGTAAATTAATTTTTTATCCTAATTTAATTTTTTTTCTTCATAAAATTTGAATCCAAAGTTTTTTATCGGAGAATTTTGAATCTAGTTTCACTCGAATAAGATAATTTTAGTGCATATAATTATTAAGCTATTTTCAATATCAAAATCTTTAACGATAAATTGATATTTAAAAAGAATCTCATAAATTAAATGGTTAAATAGTCAAATTTCAGCATGTCTTTTAGTGTGATAAAAGGTAAACCAATTTGTTTTTTTAATGACTTGATTACTTCTTTTTTTTTTCTTCAGAATATACTATCATGATTCTATATACAAGAAACAAAATACACAATTCATCAAACCCAATCCAATGAAAGTAATTAAATTATTTAGTTTTAATTAATATTATTATAATTTAAAATTTTATTTTTAAAATATCATAAAATTAAATAGTATAAGTGGTATTTATACTTACGACACTACTCAAAAGTTAAAGAACAATTTTTTTAACTAATTAACATGATTTGTAATGTAAGTTACCCAATAAATACATTCATTTATATAAAAGATGAGTAAATGACTCATTAATAGATCCATAATAAATTAAGAGTATAAAAGAAAATTACTAATAAATACATTTAAAAAGTAAAATTTTATTTCTTATGATTAGAATAAATTAAAAAAAAATTATTTCTTATATATAAGAATGAATTTAGTAATATTGATATGATAGTGAATATATAGAGTTTTCAGTTTTCATATACAATTATGATACCGAAGAATTGATCATGAATCGTTATACATGTACGCTAATCTTATCATTACGATGATTGTAGTGGGTTGAAGTTTTTAATTTGTCAACAAAAGTAAACTACATATCATTGTCTTCACTCTTTGAAAAAATGTACTATGATTAAACATTTATTATCATAAATGTAACAGCCCATTTTTTGTGGGCCTTTGGCCCAATTCGTGGCCCAAAACGGGTCGTTTCAATTTTGAAACAGGTCGTTCTGGAATAGTGAGTATGGCCAAAATTGTAGAAGCAGAACGGGCCGTTCTGCTGGGGTTGAGAACGGGCCGTTCTGGTTTGGGAACGGACTGTTCCAATTGAAAAATTTACATAGGTTTGAAGGGCCCAGAACTCAAAGTCGTAGTTATTCTTTCTCTCAATTGGTTTGTTTTCTCTCTCCTAATCACCTAATATGGAACATAATGTGAGATTTTGATATTTTTCAATCACCAATTAACATTTTTTCATGTTTAAATATTTTGGTCATAGGTTTTTTGGTTAAAATAGAAAATTGTTTTTGGGTTTTATGGATTTCTTGTAGTTGGATTTTTTTTGTCTTGGTCATCTTTACTTTCTTCATTTGTTATGGCTACAAGTTTAGGATTGTAAACTTTAAATTATTGAATTTGGAATTTAATAAATTGAGTGTTTGTTCTAAAAGATCTCAAACAAGAATGCATGAATCCAATATATGTGTTTTTACAATGTTTAATAAATTGCAAAACTCCTCTTATAGAAGTTAGAAATAACTTAATGGTAATAGTCCTCTTTGTTAACTAGAAAAAAAACTATGTATTAACATGAGAATTAACCGTTAATTAATCATGAGATTAACGAAAATTATAACAAAGTATAACAGAAAAACTAATTTATAACATAATAGGGATAAAACTTAGGGAGAGTATTATAAAAAATATTTCAAGACCTATCAAATACTTTTACCATCTTTTAAAAACTAAATTAAGTGTTTACTCATTAAAAAATCATATTAATTAATGTTCTCAATTTTTATGAAATATTAAAAAATATATATTCAGATTTTACCTCTTAATAAATATCATTGCCTTGGAATACGTACTTAATGTGTACTAGGAGGCACCCCTTCGGTCAGGCAATAGGCCGAAAGGGGTGCCCGAGCCGACGAAAACACACCACCCCTTCAGCTGGAGGACGGGCCGAACACACCTTCTCGGCCAAAGGAGGTACCCCATGACTCCTTTACCACTAGAAACCCATCAAAACCTCCCGGTATTGAGCTGGGCCGAACACCTCCTCGGCCTTGACATGAGCCGAACACCTCTTCGGCCTTGGAGAAGACCGAACACCCTTTCGGCCTCATACCTAGCCAAGGACTTCAACAAATCAAACAAACACTGCCATCAAGGACGAGTCAAACACCTCCTCGGCCTTGACCTGGGCCGAACACCTCCTCGGTCTTGACCTAGGCCGAACACCTCCTCGGTCTTGACCTAGGCCGAACACCTCCTCGGCATTGACCTAGGCCGAACACCTTCTCGGCATTGACCTAGGCCGAACACCCTTTCGGCCTCGGGGGAGGCCGAACACCCTTTCGGCCTTACGCCTAGCCGAGGACTTCGACAAAGAGCAGATCACAAACAACACGTGGCAAGTTAGATACTTATTATGCGCTAATTACCATGCCAGATTAAGAGGAGATTAAGGCTAACTCAAGTGTTACCCATCTCCCAAGACTGAAGGCCCACCAGGCCCAATTGTGTCACTATAAATACACAGGTGATGTGACATGAAAAGGTACGTTATTGTCCAATATAAAAGCACTTATTGCTCTATACCGAATACTCACTTGAGCGTTGGAGTGCCTTTGCAGGT